TGTTACTTGGACTCTTTCGGAGGATTGTTGTAAAAATTTAGGATAATTGTGAAATTTGACCTTCTCAAAAAGCATGAGTCACAGATTTCGATAATTTTTTGGAGCTCATCGAATATTGTGCAATGTTCATATAACCTTTAGAAAGAGAATGAAATGCTGCATCGAATGCTACCAAGATCTCCTAGAAATCTTGCTTCCACGAAATGTAGCGTTCACTTGGACAAAACGACATTGCTTTCGGAACGACCTAATACCATGTCATTTGTCTGCTTTTTTTAAGTTTTCATGATTAGCACTTTTTTGAGCTTACTAAAGTTTTGATTAAGGTTGGAACCATACGAATGACACGCTCCTTAGATGTTGGCAAAGTTACGGACGTTGTACACATCGATTTCACTAAAGCCTTTGATAAGGTTCTGCACCAAAAATTAGTTTACAAACTATTAGGTCGTTCCATAAGTTCGTAGCGTTTTCATTTTCGTACTCATATCTTTGAGGAGCGGTTGATTTGCGGCAAGATGTGTGTATCATTTGGAAGGGCTGAATGTGCTCTTTGAAATACGTCTACTGATTCCGGTGGAAAGCTGATTCACTCGGATCTAGCAGCTTCCAAAGATGAAAATCTTGAAAGGAAAAAAGGAGCAATTTCGGCATTTGCGCCTTTTTCCTTATGAAAAGAAGCGCTTTTGCACAAATTTTTGTGTCACTTATGGAACATGGCGTTCGCTCATCAATATGAGACAAAAAAAGGATGAGATTGATACAAAAGAGCAGGAGCTGAACAGGGTGTCCCTGAACAAGACTCTTCGGGGGACGGGCAGGACGTCCTGCACTGTAAATTGCTGGACAAGTAGGCGACGATCAACCACATCGTAAGCAATCCAACTGCAGCGTTTAAACCAGGTCCTACCGCTGAAAAAGCCTAAGAGACAGATCCGGTGAGGTTTTCTGCATGACGAAGCATGGCCTCATACGGCAAACGTCGTCAAAACTCTCCTGCACAACTTGACTGGAAGGTATTTCAGTACCCAAAATACTCTCTAAACCTCGCTCTATCAGATTATCATTTGCTCCGCTCTCTGGCGAAAATTTTACTAGCAAGACGTTTTCTTCATGAAACTGAGCTTCTGCATACACTAGCCTTCTAACCCTTATTCCGCCATTGATGAAAGAACTTGACTTGAAGAGCGCATTGTGGAGATTTCTCGCAAGAACATACTTCTAGGGTGAGAACGCACCTCAACCACTTGAGATTTTAGGCCTGAACTCTCCTCACATCAAGTAATTTATTGTAATTTGATATGCTTTAGAAAGAGCAAAAAAAGCGCCTTCTAACGATACTAACAATACCGCATTAGAGATGAAATTCTCTTAGAAAAGCTGTTCCAAAAATAAGACAAAAAAATCGGACAGATATTATGCAGCAGCCTAATATTGCGTGGATTCAAGCGTTTCTGTCCAATCGCACTTTCAGAGTTCTTGTGAATGAAGCTTTTTCCAGTCCAAGATATATGACCAGTGGTGTATCTCAAGGTGAAGTTCTTTCTCCAATCCTATTCAATATTTACACTTACGAACTACCCGAAATTGTTTGCAACGCTGTCATGTTTGCACTTGCTGATGATTTCAAACTTTATGGTGATGTATCACGTCTTGGGGACAGGAAGAGATTGCAAGGAGTTTTGATGTCGTGGTCGATTGGTCAAGAACAAGGACTATTCTCCCAAGAAAAGAGAGAGAACTGCTGGAAAGGGCACCGTTGCAGTACATACCTTTTCAGAGCTCTTACAACTAATGATATGGAAATTTTAATTCGAGCATATAAGGTTTACGTTCGATAGTTACTTGAATATGGTACTTCATTTTCAATCCTTCTTTGAGTTACGCCGCCTACCGGATAAAGAAAGTTCAAAGCAGCTTCACCAGGAAATTGCTGGTACGTAGCTGGCCGGATTGCTGGCCGGATTTGTGTACAGTCAATTACCGGGCTTCAACATTCGCAATGAAAGGTTGGGGCTGGAAAATCTGAGCGTTGGACGACTGAAGTTTGATCTTTTGATGACACATAAAATATTATTTGGAGGTTGTCGAATGAATTCGGCAGATCTCTTTGAGCGCAGGAACTCTGAAATTAGGGGCGGTCCAAGTAAGATTGTAATATTTAGAACGAGAAGGATTGTAAGGAAAAACTTTTTCATAAACAGAGTCACCGTGACCTTGATAAGCTTCTAAGAATGCAGATGCTCCCAGTAAAACCTATTCAGTTTAGAGCTACTCTTGAAAACTATCTGCTTTCAACATCAAATCGTTCGTGACATGTGTTGTTTTGTTTTGTTAATGTTTGGATGTTCCTCTTTTACTAATTGCTTCTTCGTTGCTATGTTTCTAGTTTCTTTTCAACTATTCCGGCATTAATTTCTTTTGTTTCATTGCCACATGGGCTTGCACATATAACGAATTAATAAATAAATAAGTACTGCTAATCAATACAAACTCAAGCGTGATTAGAATTATGACATACTTTTAAATCTGCTCGGTGAAAATGTCGAACTTGCCTTTTGTGCTTAGAACAAACTTCTAGAAAACTTTGCACATATTTACAAATTTGGTTCCTAATACACGTTAATTTGGTCTCTTCTCCGTTCTTTGCAAGAGATTTTTTACGTGAAAAGAGGTTTAGTTGTAAACGATACACACAGTGGCAATCCAACTTGTGTGATCCATTGCGCACAAATAGAATCATTCTGGCACATTTATATCCTGTGCTCCACACATTCATGATGCGTGCGCACATCGTGACATCTGTGTATGTTTAGTCTTTTACCTGAAGTATGTCATCTTCGGTCTTTCAATTATGTTCCCAAACGCATAAGTCTATAACGACTTTCTCTTTTAATGGCACTTTAGAAAACTACTCTTTTCACAAAACAGAAGCTCAGCGTTGCCATATGTTTAACACTATTGCTTTTTTGCTGGCTTACTTTTCCTTACAACATACAGCCTTATAGCTCCGCTTCCACAGGTTGCTTGATATGATGCTCTACCAATTACCTATAACGGCACTCTCAAGGGAATGGATTCACAGAGTTTATCCCGAAATCGACCAAGAATACGACGCTTCTTCTTCCCCTTCTATATTAGGGGAGTGCGCTGGATTGCTGTTGTGCTTTCTTCTCGTATTAGTGATGGTAAGTAATGTATGTATCGTGGTGGTAAGTAGTGTGTTCAACTCTTCTGAGTTTATGTTTTAGCTCATCTCCATCAAAAAAGTGTCACTCAACCGCCACAGTGGGTATGCTGCTGGACAGAAAGCACCGTTTACCGTCTTTCAGTCATCGCAAATGCTAAATATCTGACTTATCAGCAGACGACAGCTGCAATATCACTAAAAGATTCCCGACTTTATTTGATTTTTGCCAACATAACCCAAATCTTCCTCTAAAGCATAAATTCGTGCGGAATTCGAAACATGTAAAATCAAAATCTAACTATCGACGCATACCTTTATGCAACTTCAACACTTGAGAAATCTTGCATCACTATGCTAGCGGCTACTATAATGCATCAAGACTCACCATCCATGATTTAGGTGGGCGGTGCCTTTAGGCAGTGTCCGGGCAAGGTGGGGGCTTTAGATTTTAGTGCCATGCGAAAGTGGACCCCCTCAGACACAACATCGCGCAAACAAGAGGTCATAACGTTCGACCTAATGCAAGAAAAACGACCGGAAAGTGGGGGAACTCACGCATGGGGAGGGAGTTCTTCCGACCTCTGCGAATTCCTGCTATGCGGTAGAGTATGCATGCCGCCACAGTCAATAGTAGGGTCCCGCAGCGACTCTGCGCCTCTGTCTGGCGGGGACCAACGAATTTCAAAATTGTACAACTTTGGAAGACGCATGTTCCTGCCGTTTTTGCGCCTTCTAATGTGGATTTTCGGATTCAGTGTTGCAGATAACCCCGGTGAGTAGATTTTTTAGAAAACGTATTTTTGGCCGGACCCTGCCTTAAAAGTGAAGCTCACCAGAGTACATGACTCTGTGTATCGAGTGTATGTGCGAAATGACGAGTGAAGGGATCATGAGGTGACTAACAAAAAATGCAAATGCAGAAAGAGTTTAATGTGGATCAGTTTCAGACAAGCGGTACGTGCGTAAGCAGCAGCGAGATAGAACTTTCGTTTCAACCTTATAAATTGGAATTTGTGGTTGACGCCACGCCTCTTCAATTTTGTCCTCCTCCCCCGACAAATCTGATAAGTTTCATTGGCAAAGGATGCCTAGTGCTAATGCTAAATCATCTCAAACTTTGATCGCCCTGAGAATCCTCCAGTATTTCAAAAGCAAGATTTGAAATAAAATCTAAGCTAGTTATGGTAGCAGTTATCAGTTTATATTTGCACTTCAAAGCACTTTTTTCGCAGAAATAGCGCCAAAAGGCATGGTTTTCAGACAGAAGCAACTATGTTTCAAGTCATGAGGACAACTCAACATTATATGAAGTGATCACCACTTATCAATTAAGAAAAGCCAAAGGTAAAAGGCTGAGAATGAATACGAGCATTTAAGAAACTGTTTTGCCATACAGTAACTGAACTTAAAAGAACCTAGCAAGCATTATAGTTCTTCTCCTAACACGAGTGAAGTTGATGAGCAATCGCTCTATGTACAATTTTTGCAAATCTATTAGACTATTTAAAGCTTATGTACCTGCGAAAAAAAAGCAAAATGAATGGATCTTCAGAATCGATTAGATTTTCAATCAATTCTGAAAATAGCTTAGTTCAAATTTTTCTTGCTTCAGATTTGGAAAATGATTGTGAGCCTCCAATTGCTTGACTTCTAGATCACTGAAAAGGGCTAGTATGCTTTGGACATCATTTAAGTGTCAAGCCAAGTTATAGTTATCCATAGCACTACATGTTTACAGCATTTCAGATCTTCGCTCGTTCCGAATGTGTTTGAGTGTGCTTGTACTCTGGTCATATAAAACTTTAATACGTCTATGGCTTATGTTCATTACGATCCAAGCATAAGTGAAAACATCTTGAAATGTAGCTGAATGGCGAGCAAGTCGACATAAGGAAGAAATGCACACTGGAAAATCACAATGTATTTTTGAGAACATTAACATGCCATAACGAGCAAGACTAGTGCCTTAATCCCGTTCTACAGAATTATGTAAATGAAAATGTGCAAAATTCATTCTTGCCAGAGTGAATTGCACATTCTTTGAGCAATCATTGACCATAAGTAATGTAAAAAGTCTCAAAACAATTTCGATGCAAATGCCTGAGATCTGTGCAGTGGAAAAATTAACACCCTAGATAAGTGATCAGAACGCGCAATGCGAGCCAAATGAGAACTGTACAGACAGTAAAAGAAGAGATGGGCGAAGAAGAATGCGTCCAAAAAAGGAGATGGAAAAAGGTTTAGAAGGGGGAAATAATCTTTTACACCCGTTTGCGGTCCGGAGCTCTGTGCACCGCCCGTGTTGTCGTGTCGTCGTCAACTTGAATAGCGGGTATCCCGGAAGGACTATCTTCACTATTCCATTCCATACTTTTCAACTCCTCTAATGGCGGCACGGGCCTATCAGACCTTAAACAAGAATATGATCGCAAAGACACCAAGAACTAGAGGCAAAAAAAAACTGAAACTGAATTTGGCGAAATCGCAGGAAAAGTTGAGCTCAAAGAATGTCACATGATGTCGACATTACCTCCAGTTGTCTTGGTTCCACGACGCACTCCTTGCTACAAAACCGCCTGTCTCCAGATGACTTCCTCCTGATTCGTTAAGACCCATGAATGAACCAACTGGCAATGTAGATGACGTACTACCTAACCACAAGCATTCACCCGCATAAGAAACGGGTGAGGTACTACGGATCATATATGTTTATACAAACCTCCATGATGTTGATTCATCTGTATCAGCAAACGTTCCAGGTTTTGAAGGCGAGAATTGATATGATCCACTACTGCTAAGCGGTCATGGATTATCTCAAATTTCGACCTCATTTCTGATCGAAGGTTATGAAGCGAGCTGAAGTCCTAGAAATGTTACCGATAAGTTCCTGCTATGCATATAAGCACCAATCACTAACTTTTTCCTTAGGTTTTTCAATACTTGATTCCATCCAACTCGTGCGCGATAAAGCGTCTTCATCGACAGTCTGCCGTTTCTGGTAATAGTAAGGATTGCGTGAAGAACAGAAAAAAGTTAGAGTACCGACCATTAGTGGAGGCCTTTTATTTTTGGTGGAAGTACGAGGAGAACGTGATAAATAGGTTGTAGAGAGCAAGTTGGATGTTTCATCAACCATAGAGTGAACCGATGTGATACGGTTCATGCTTTGGTCCGTATGGTGTTTTTTCATGCCCTAAATTCTCAATTTTGAACCGCAAAAGTAACAAACAAAAACCATACCTTCTCTATGTCAGCAAACATTGGACTGGGGAATATCCTAGGTCCATGTCGTTCCCTCATGCGGAAGAGCAGTTTCCTAACGGGATGATCAGGTGGAAGAATTAATTTCTCGTTCTTCCGTCGAGCGTCGAGTTCCTTTTCTCGTTTTACGTCAACAACCTGGGAGATGCGTTGCTACTACATTTTTGTCTTCGAAGATATGCTTCCATACCTTTCGGAACTTCAGTCGATGAGTTAGATTATAAGTAAGCACTAGATTTCTAGCAAAAGAATTGGCAAAGGCTTTGTAAAAGTTCAGCACCTAAATTGTATCTGTGTGAAAGGGCCATATCTGTTAATACTCTTTCCATACCTCCATTAATCTATCCTTCTTGATCATATGTAGATCTGTATACGTAAGCGCTCGCACGTTAGCCGCGGACTGCCCCGTTGAGCCGTTGTTTTTCCAGAACTCATCCCCAAACACATCTCCTTTCCCTTAAGCAAATGGTTCAGAACGAGAGCTAGGGGAAATGAGCATTTACTTACCAAGAATAGCTACCACTTCTTCATCTTGAATCACTTCCAAGGACCCGCTAACAACAAACCATAAAGCATCCACCGACTCTCCTGTGTGATAGAGAAGATCTCCAGGGGCGGCATGATTCGACTGTAAATTTTGTGTAAAATTTTTGCAAAAAATTTGCAAGCTTCACCTCTAGAAACATAGCCAACGATCGCAAGCAACCATCCGAAGCGAGTCGAAAACAAGAATGTTCGTTGAAGACCTTGCGATTAAGATGCACGCATATGTCTGCTTTCATGTCTTTGGGACAGTAGCCAAGCACCTATGAACAGCGCATATTTTATAATAATGCTACCGGAAATATATTATTCTGATGTGCTAATGACTTGAAACGAAGAAGTCACATTTGCGGCGCAATACACACATGCAAGTAAAAAGTACAGGATCTTTTTCCCCTATTAAATGTTTTTCAGCGTGCATTGTGCGGTGATCACTTTGTCATTTTGTTGTTGGAATCTTAGCTATAACACGTCTAATTCTTCATCATGTTCCTCGTTGCATATAATATGATCTGATGAGTGTTTACCTTTTGCGTGTCAATACCCTTTGTCATTGCCCATGTAGATACTACATAATCCATCACTCTCTCAGCAAGCTCTTTGGGAACTTCCTGGAGTTTGATAAATTCGCGCACATTGCTAATCATGTCGTGGTACCTGTAAAAATTTTAGTAGTTATCATAGATATCTTAATGTCCATCATACCTTACGGTTGCAGATGTCATCTGCTGAATGATTGTTGTCATATGACCAAATATTGCAGCGTAAAGCAGTGCGGAAATAATCATCATGCAAACACCAAACAGCTGCAATATGTTTCCTAGTTGGATCCTTCTATGAACTGTAACCTCTGTAACCTACTTTTTCATTGTCCGTTGTGCTGGCAATGTTGCCAAATCCAACAGTAGACATGCAGCTCATTGTAAAGTATAGAGCTAAATTTGGAAGGTAAGGAAATGTATAAGCGAGTTCGGTGTTTCCAATTGAACTAACATGATATATAAGAGCTTGTCCTTGATGGTCCACCTGCTAATCGTGTTCTGTTAGACAGATTGATGTTGTATGGGGCCTTTAAATCGTTTGCCAGCCGAAATAACCAGCCTTCGGGTAGCAATGGATTGTCCATCTGAGAATTGAGTTTGTTTAGGACTTGATGTTCATAGTCTCAAAGAGCTGAAGGAAAACCGTGAAGCTCACTTTAAGTTTAACTTCGTATTCTCCTATTGCGAACCATATACACGCCAACCAGTGAGCTACAAGAACGTAAGCACAGAGCAGAAGCAGCAGTGTTGCTGCGCCGTATTCAAGGTAGTTATCGAGTTTTCTTGCTACCCTTCCTAATCGCAACAGTCGTACAACTTTCAATGCCGAAAATAGGCTACCTATTCTCTGCAACAGAAATCGTCAATTTGCATTTTGAACGAAAGAGTAAAGATGAGAACCTCGTCGTCTCGTTTAAACATATAGAATATATCATAAGGCAAGCAAGATAAGAGATCAATAAGGAACCAAGATTTGAAGTAGTTTTGTCGAATTATCGAGGGATCAATAACAACCTAAATAGATGTTTCAATCAGCTGTGATGATTGAAGTTTTAGCAAACCTCTCCACCCGGTCCAACGAAAGTAGTATGGAAGTTCAATAAGATATCGGCAAAAAATATAACATCGACTATCGAGTCCATTAGCGCAACAGAATCGATGCCGCCACCCGGATATTCCCTAAATCACATCACATCACCAGCATCAAGTAAGATCAAAACGAACATGCGAATCTAAAAAATTGTTTGTTAGATCCTGGCATAACAAGCGTTGATTTCCGTTGCATGTATTGCGTCTACCGACAACTGGTGCAAGATGCCTTGTGAGTCTTTGTATGTGACAGAAAGCAAGCTAACATTCATTTGCAACAGCAAAGTAGTGGATTTAACCGAAGCGCGTGCACACGTAATATACATCAACATTGACATCAAATCGTGCAGAATAAATCCAAATATGTTTTCTCTATTCAGGTGCGGCAAGCGCAACCGTACACTAATGATACGTAACTACATCAAAGCACGATAATCAAAATAATAAAGGATGATCTTTACCTGATCGGTTGCATGAAAAATGGTTTAAGGCTAAAACAATAAGCACTCGATAGGATACTGCTCATTTGCCTCACCAGAAATTAGGCAAAGCACTTTTCAGTTCAAACTATTTCGTTCTTGGTAATTAAGCTGGTCGATATCTTGTTCAGCTGCTCTTTTTCCAGAGTAATTCTCTTTTTATTATGTCCACAAAATTGGTTGAAAAATTGCAGATAAGCAGGCGATCATTCTCGCTGAGAAGATTAGCTCAAAGTTCCATAGTGCTGCAAACGATTCTGACCTTACATAAACTTCCTCTGTTGTCTTCAAACGTCGAATTTATACGTCAAAAATCATCGTTTTTTTTTCTTCAGAAAATGGTCAAGCTTTACATCTTTTGTAAAAGACCCTTTTCGGCATAAGTTGACCAAGAATGCAGTTCGTCGATACGCAACTTGAAAAAATTTAGGCCACTCTTAATCATTTGGTTGTGTTATCATACCGAGAAAGGCACTGTGGCTACAAACTTTCGGTCGGATTGAAAAAGCTTTGCGCCACAAAACACAGATAGTCTTCAACAGTGTGCGACCCTAGTTAGGGACAACTCAGACAATTGCATCGGAAAGTTCGCGGCCTCAAAACATGCTACATGGCGCGCCGCGGCACTTGAAATTTCAGCCGCGCACGCCGCGGCCCATGTATATTTTACCGGGAACGCCGCGGCTAAAGTTAAAATTGGAAAGAGCTTATCGGGAGAGTCGCGGCCCAATCACCTCACTCGGCGTGCCGCGGGCCTTATCAAAGGCCACACTTCTTACACACTGTAGCTCAAGGCGCAACCTGCGTGAGGTACGCCGCAGCGATGGTGCTACTCTAGTCTGTGGGACTTGTAATCGCTTCTCGGGTTGGGTTGTGTGGCAGTTGAGCTTATATGCTTATGAAACTAACTTCAGCAAATGGTTGAGTGTTATCGAGGATAGTGATGTCGACAGGTGAGCTAACAAGTTGCTCACTTTGTATTGAGTCGTTGTCACGAAAGACAGGTCAAAATTTTTCCACTCTTCCTAAGCCTCACAAGCATGCTAATCGGGTCAACTATCGGGCGCTTACAGGATGCGCCGCGGTCACTTATCGGGTCCAACATCGGTCTATACCGGGCAGCTCGCGGCATGGATGATTGGTGGCCGAGCAAGCACCTGCGAACTTCCCGGTGCAATTGTCTGAGAAGAAGGAAAACGTAATGAAGACTGAAGAGATGGGCATCCAATGCCATAGAAGAAGGTCTTTTGCATTACATTATATTCTGACTCTTTGAGCGAAAAAACTTCTCCTTTGCATGCAGATTCAGCAGGACTACCCTCTTCCAGCAGAGATGTGGTAAGTACATCTCCTTGCAGAAAAAGTTCGTTGAGGCACCCATGATATGTACTTTGAAGACATTTTATAAATTTGGGATTACGTGGAACCACGACAAGATGACTAGCATCACGCAATTATCACTTTGCAAACTCATGAATGTGACTAAAAGTAGACCGCCTACAACTTCGTTATAGGTACATATACTTGTTAATAGTTTCGACCAAGGAACAAAACTACTTTCCTTCTATCCTTCTTGCACAGCGGAGGAAACCCTGCAAGATGGCAGCATAAACAGCCACTTCACCAAAATTGAGATATTTCACTAATACTTAATTGATGTTTTTATGCATTTATCTATTCTATGCTTTACCGACGATATGAAGGTTTATATATATGTCCTCATATGATCCTGACCTTAGATCTATAGAAACAGCTAAAACCAAAAAAGCGCCATACGTTATCAAGTCAGTCACAAAGAGATGCATACCTGTTCTTGAAGGCAATGTTGAAGGGGACCATAAACGCAGTATAGAACGTCAGCGCCAGTATCGACCAGTCCCAAATAGTTTTGAAGGTGGAATAGTGTAGAATGATATGTGGCGACGTCTTTGGTGTCTCCTGTCGATATTGTGGCAGCATATCGCCACCCAGGTTCATAACCTTAAAATTATCTTCCTTCATCAGTCTTTCACATATCCTTTGCATAGTAATAGTTGAACCAAGGATTAGAATGTTGTTGAGCTAGAAGGCGGTTTATATTACATGGCTTCAATGCCACATTTTGTAAAATATTAGGTTTGCAATAATGTAATGGAGGTTTTCATATAACTTTCATCAGCGCATTTGATTTTTGCTATTATATAAATGTGATGTGGGCTACGAATGCAGTCATTTTTAACAGAATTTGCCATCCGTAAGGGTGACTATAGGTTCAAGAGAGTCTGCAAACTCGATGCAAGGATTTTGGACAAAATATCATTGCAACGAGGTACTTCTGTAAAATCAAAATGTGTTATTTTTACCGCGACAATACAAGTGTTCAACAAGTCAAAATCCCCTGTTGTAAAAGTCTTATCGAAGGTTCTGAGATTCTGAAAGCATCATGCACCTTAATAGGAGTCTAAGGCGCATACGATAGTAAGACCTTTTGTCAAGGCAATGCCCAAGTCGCGGCGCAAAATGTCGCTTCGGAAGCGAGGATATCTTCCGGAATAACTTAGGGGCACAGGACCCCTAGGCGGTACCTTCAGTAATGCACGCCCATCTGCGCGCCCATCCAATAACCGTTCCGCAGAGCCCGCAAGTTCTCCGGAAAGAGAATTGTCGGGGTTTTCGCGGATTTTTTTCATCTTTACATATTGACTGCAGTTTTTGCGAAAAAGGATGACAACGATTCGTTCATTTTCCAAAAGCGCATCTCAATCAGTCTTCAACTTTCAGATCTTATTTAAGCATAGTGAGTAATCCCTAACAACAATTTTCCTTTAGTTTAGTCTTTATGTGTTTGTTTCGAGTTGTGCAAGCTTCAATTTGCCTTATACTAAGACCTCAAATCTCACAATTGTTGGAAAGTTTAGATATTCTTTATCAAAATCAAGTTTGTGCGTTTCTGTAGTCATACAAGTACAATGCAATTTATGCGCTACATCCAAAAAGAGAAGTATTATAGGACAAAGCACGACTTAGCTGCCAAGCTAATATTACTCCATGTAAAACCTTCTCCTCTGCCCCATTGATCTACCTGCTTTCAATTCAAATTTCGAATATACCTCCAAACAACTGACTGATTCTCTTATATTAGAAACAAAAAATAACTAGCTACTATAAATGTTCTGCTTTTCTTCTTCAAAAAAAGTTAGGGAAAGAATTTGAGCTTGACTAAAAAATATGAAGCCAAATTTACACGCATCCAAAGTATTAAAAGAACCGAGCCGACATTGCAGCTTGAGGACCAGTCAACATTATCATAGATTGTATCGAATTCTGCAACGATTCATAATTAAGATAAGACAGCTTTTTTCCGCTGATTTGACCAACACGTGCTCAAAAACTTGGTCAGAATAAAGTTGGTAATTTGCGAACTAATCGAAGATTCCTTTAGAGAAATACTCTATTATGGTTCTTTAGGTTGTTGTGAATAAATTACGTGTTTTCTTATCAGATTAAATCGCGCACAGCTTTGGCGTTAGATCTCACCAAAAGGCAGTGCATGGAAAGTGCTGTATAGAGAAATTATGTGATTCGGTGTGGAAATACTGTGCTTTGAGTGTGATGCTGTAATGCAGTGAAAAATAGAAGCGAAAGTGATTATGTAGCGCCATCAATTATCTTGAAATTATATACGCATTTTTATAAATACACCACAGGTAGTGTATTTCATGGCAAAGCACAGAGGAGCTGGACAGTTCGAGCACGAGCAACTCTAAACTCACTATGCGGCCGTTAACCTCGTAACACTAAAACAGTATAATTCAAGCGGTTTTCATGATAACTTTCTGAACTACTCAGGATGCAGTGGAAACGCTTGGACTGGCCCATACACACAGTAAGCTCACTAGGGTTCTGAAATTCACAGTCAATTCACGCTGCTGTCTATAACTGCGGTACCGCTGTGTCTTGACGCTGTTTTATGTGTGCACATTGGTGGGAGCAGGAGCAGTGAAGACGTGCTGAAGAATCTTCACACAAAGAATCTTTCATTCAGAAATTTCAGGGGCAAAGGGAAGGACGTATGACAGTTAAATGTACCTGGGTGAAGTTCGATGATACCGACGTCGTCGTTTTGTGCAGGTCTTTGGTCTCAATCTGATTGAATTGTTGCTTTGACTTTGCAATTCTGGCAATTTGCAAAATCCGCGATAAGCCTGCAATGCAGAGGTATTGTCACAAGAGCTACAACTGTACAGTCGAGTAGATTTTTCGCTTAATATAGTGTGCCTGCACAGTCCTTGAAACGGTAAAATATGCGCGTGAACAGGTAGTAGCTGCGCCAGCACTGCCGGCATTTTGCGCGCGCAATTGGCCGGCAATGCTGGCGACAGTCGAAGCTACTTCCTCATGAGCAAACTTTACCGCATTTCACCTTCTGTGCAAGCCACTATAGCATTTGGCACCATTGTGCCTTGTGAAACAATTGCTCTCCCACAAATCTCTTCGGTAAGGAGCAGCACGGTAGAGGCTCCTTAGGTCGCCAAATTGTTTGGTGGGTCAGGATTGATCGAGTTCGAAAAAAATCAGGTGCGTTGTGCTCTTGAAATTGAGGCATTTGCAATAATGAAATCATCTTTTTGATGAAAATGAGTTGGCCACTATAGAATATGCGACAAGCACACATTATCGATATCACGGAGCGTTGAGCAAAATTAAAGATTAGTGTAAGTACATGACTGCTGCACTTTGCTGACTCTCAACTTTATAGTTCGAGCACTACTTGTATGTCTCTCACAGTAGAAGACTTGGCGTTCAGAAGCATTCAGATTCGGCGCTTATTATTGAATTAACAAATTTAGCAGCGTTAGGTTTTTTCGAGCGACATTTTTTCTGCAGTAGCGATTGAGATAACAATGTAGCCATGGTGAAAGCTTCAGATCATTAAATGAAGAATATGGATGGCACTGCGTGCATAACAGTTCTAGAGTGTGCTCAAAGCTACTATTTCTATCTGCAGTCAAAAGCAGGTGGGCTGTCTCCAATGAATCACACTGAGCTTCGATCGCCTCACATTCCTGAGTTTCCCAACAAAGCCAAGTTCTCCAGCGTGCTCATCGCTTAATTGAACCAAAAACACCATATCAATCCATGCTCCTAGAGCAAGGAGACGCACAAAAAGAGATCCGAGAGTTGTGTTTCGCTGTTTCGCTCGAAAGCTCGATTTACAATGCGACTTATTGTGCGTGGGAGGAAGCCAACCTTTGGCACCCATTATACCACTGTTTTAGGATCATAAAGACGTGATGTTGCCGGGATTACCGCGAAACAAACAGATCACAGGGTTGCAATTTTTCAAAAGAGTATGTTAAAGGCACCGTCCACCTTAAGTTGAGGGTGTTGAGCTTTTGGCAGCATATAATAGTGGGGCCCTCTATCAATCCAGTGCCCAAGTCGCGGCGCAAAATGCCGCTTCGGAAGCGAGAAAATCGCTCCGGAATAGCGAAGATGCACGAGGACCCCCATCCATGCCCGCCCATTTGTGCGCGCCCATCCAATCACCGTTCTGGAAAGCCGGCCTGTGGGTTCTCCGGAACTGGGATTGTAGGGGTTTTCGAGCATTCTCGACTTCATATTCGGAGTCAGGGACATGAGAAGACTCTGAAAAACGTGGAAGTCGAAAATCTGGGTGGACGGTGCCTTTATGTTTGGAAGATAGGACCTTAAGCAAACACGAAGACAATTACTCAAAAGCAATCGAAGGACCTATTTGATGCATTCAGATGCAAAAACTTCTGTAACAGCGCCAGCACCTAGCGTTTCATGTTTCACTTCATCTTATGCGTTTAGGGAAGCTGCTCAAAAAAAGTAATTACATGGCCTGGCAGTCCAACAAATGGGATACCACACCTACGATAATTTGTCGCAAAAGCTGGATAGACTTCTTTGATACCTCACCACACTGACAAGAGCCTGACAACCAGGGATGTGTCCAGCAATGACTACCGCGCGGGACCGCTTGACGCACATGGTGTGTCAGGGCCTGAATATCGTTAAAATGGCGACTTTTTACAGACATTCGCTCCAGGAGTTGTCTTTGCGCTGAATTCAAAAATGACTTCCATCTTTCATGTTAGTCCCTCAAAGCTACTTGGGTATACTGTACATAGCGGTATGCGTATTATCCAAAAAATGCTTTTTTCGTGAAAGGCTTCGACAAAAGTAAACAACCAAAAATTTGCATGCTCGTCAATGCGTAAAGTACTGTCACTCTCAACACAAAAATCGAGCAAGCCGGCATTTCCAGGATTGACTTAAACCTGTAACCTAAACGAAAACGCTCCAATTCAAGTTTTTCAAAGTGGCAAGTTAATTAGCAGTTTACACCAACTCTATGAGTGACTCTATGAGTGTAACGACTGCAAGAGAAGACATAAAGATCTAGTAATACTTCCTAATACAAATTACCTTAATAGCTAAATGCTACTTTGAAGAGATCGCTGCAGAAGTGCAGCATAACAAAGAATATGAATGCTATCATAAAGAAGCTATGAGCCTGAACGAATAAAACGCAGGCTTAGAGCGATCAGGCAGTGGATCAAATCCTTTTTGGAACAAGCTTCGAAACTGGAAAACACCATAGGAATTTGCAATTTTAGAAAAAAATAACAAAAATATTGGGTTTTAAATAATACATTTTTTAAACCAGGGAAATAGTAGGTTAAGACAAAATATAACAGCTACGGAAGCCCTGCTTAGTTTGAAGTTATGAAAAAACAGCACGATGTCGCCACCGTGAACCATCATAAAACCAATATAAGCACGTTTTTTGAAAATTTGGAGAATTACGCAGTATGACTTCAGTATGATTTTTAAAAAAGGATACATAAATAGGCATAAGTAAAGGGAGAGGTGAGACTAGCGTTACTTTCAAACAATGTCAAATAATTCAATATAATATCACAGAACAAAAAGTGCTTCGAGGACAGTCATGAACTTCCTACATTATTGAAAAAAAGTGCAACCACATGCTTCTAGCCGCGTATGTGCGAAAGGCAAACTATCTGGAAATAATTAATTTCCGATATAACTTTTCTTTACTTCGCTATGATGGGAAAAGTGATTGGATATGCATAAAAAGTCAAATCGACGAGAGCTATGACCTCAAAAGCTTTTTTAATCGTTAAGTGTCGCCGAACAGCTTGAGGAAATTTTAGGCAAGTATATGACTAATTCAAGAAAATCAACAGCGAGATTTCTAGCCTTTTATGCTGTTGTAAAGAATAACAAAGCTTTGTTATTTCCACATATTATGCGGGTAAGTCTTTCTTCGTGAGTCGTAGGATCTCAAATGGTAAAAGTAAACACACCTTTATTATTTTCATCATCGAGCGGCTGTTTGAGTGGTGTGATGTCTTTAAACTGACAAAGATACAGAACTACATTTTCCTTATCATTTTTGATCGGAGCCAAATGCACCAGCAACCAGATTTGTGTTTCTAAATGGTAGGTTATGAAGGAAATACGATCAAGTAAAGAAGGGTTAAAATCGAACTCCTACTGTTCTTTTTACAAAGTCCAATTTCGGCTTGATCCGTTCGGCCATTCTCGAGGGCTTCTTGGATTCGCACGAAATTCGAAGGATCGCCATGATCACCATGCAAAAACTGTAGTCTGAATTAAAATTAATCGTTAACTGTTATTTCGTGAAACGACAGAGGCGCCGTTGCTCTATGCATCGTCTTCAATATGTTCATGCTCATATAATTTTTGTTTCTTTTCCAATCCTTCTAGTTAAGCTCTTGAATTGACCAGATAAGACGCTTTTGGCTGTTTGCTAATACTATTGTTTGTTTGTGTGGGAGAATCTCATAGATAAACTTTAAAAACTTCCAGATAGTCCTATTGACTGTTCTTGTGGTCAGTTCTAAGAAGAAGAATTGTGAACCATAATCGTTATTACATTCATATGTGCTCCATCTACTACGGAAGATACACCTCGAATGTCTCTCAAGACACAAAATCCATTGACAGACTTACTGTCGAATTATTTTCTGCCATAACGTGAAACTTCGTAAAGACATCAACTTTTCAGATGGGAGCTGGTAAATCAGATTGGCGGGTATCCAACTCAAAAAATAAATTTCTTCAGATTTCGCACGCAGGTGATAGCTGGAATGCCAGTTTTCCCCATCTGCAAGTATTGGCGAAATGAGCAAGATGTTGCGAGCAGACTGCAGTATGTGATTCTTTACCTACCAATTATTGTCTTCCCCTTCAACAACTAAACCTACTGTTACTAATAAATGATCACGTAAGTCTTGAAAAGGAATCTGCACTAATAAAAGAAGGTGAGAATTAAATCGATACAAGATAGATTAGTGTTATATCTCTCCGCGAATTTTTCCTTTATCAACTCTGATCAGGCCTTAAAATCTGCAGACAAGCAGTCAGGAAAACATCCGAGTGAAGTTGATGCAACGTTACACTTCCTTTCTAACGCTAAGAATCAATGATCAGGGTCTAAAATTGTAGAACTTCGGAATGTGGAATTTTCATCACTTTTAGATCTCTCGCAGAAAGTCGGTTTCTATTTTGGACGTTGCGAAGCCGACAGACAACCAACAAAGAGATCTTCCTATCTACACTACTCCTCTGTAAATTTTTGCAGCCCTTTTTTATGAGTCTAATACGATGATTTCGAAGAAACGAAACTTAAAGGCAGCGTCCTGGGGTGGGCTTATTCTTTCAGCTGATTTCGAAAATGAAGCTTGCAGAGTACGAAAGTGTCGAAAACGGGCTATTCCAAAAGCAGCTCATTTTGAATATGGACGCATGCCGCCGCGTTTAAGACTTGCAATAGTTCTAACCCCCGTTGACTGTGCGCAACATACGTAACTCTGGCTTTCGGGACGGGCAGGTCACCACTTCTGAAGGGTTTTCTCGCCTCAGAAGCAAAGTGATGCAATGCCACTAGAGCAGGAGTTTCATCAGGGCGGAAGCCCCTGTACGCTACAATTTCATTTCTGCCCGGATGCTGCCTTCAAAGTCACCAAATTCAAGGAATTGTTCTAGGATACAGGCATCTATGGCTGCTCGAAGACGTACGGGAAGCGCACAACTTCCTTTTTTGAAAAAAATCCGAATCAGGCCATTCTTTCTAGAAAGCCGTGAAACAAGGAAAATAACAGAAGACTTTTGTTTGACTCAATGTTATTGCGGTCTCACACTCTGACTGACATGCAATGTTACTGATTTGCAGCAAGCCGCTCACTGCTATGAAGCAAGCGTTGTCATTAGTACAGCAGCTTCCCTGGAAGGTTTTGTTCCGTAGGAGGAAGTTCAAGATGCAACGCATGTCAATTAGGAAGAAGACTTTGCAGTGATGCAGAAAGTGCTATTATCTGTAAGGGCTGTGCTGGCAAAGGCGTGTTTTTGAAAGCAACGAATACATAAAAAGAACTTGCCTGAAAATTCAAACCAAAATGCTCAACATGAAAAAACTTACGAGCAAGGCTTTTGCATGATTTCAGCCCGGGAGTAGCCGACAAGTTTCGAGAAACCGTCATTGCAGTACACAATCGGATAATCAACCACTTGTGCATTGGCGAGAATAAATGAAGTATCTGGAATAAAGTCAAATATCAACAGTACTTGAATTGGCCCATCTGTGCCACGGCGGGCTCTCTCTCATCATTAGTGAAGCGGCTTCGCGATGCGAGCAGCTGCCTAACACCTTGGCCGGGTAATCGGTAGCGTTTACCGTTTTCGCGGCCGGACCACTCCGGCTGGAAACGCGACCAAGTGGCGGAGTATATATGAGCAAAATAGCGGCATTTGCCAGTTTGATTCTCATCTTTGTTACTATACTGGGCATGGCCTCGTTTTTAGCAGCTTCCGTAGTGAACGTTTTCGTACTAAGCCGTTGACCAATATAATGTCTTTGAGTTGGGCGCCCAACAGAACGAGAAAGTTCCTAGATTCGTAAATGAAAATGCGGGATTGGACTGGATTTGCGCATACGGACGTTGCTTCTTGCGGTGGAAGAAGAAGATTATTGTATAGACTGAGCTTATTGGACATAGCAGCAGAGACGACAGCTCCCTCCCGTGTTTAACCTCTTAAATTCGTAGTTTAGTTCGTAGAAACTGGTAATTCGTAGATTTATCTATTCAAAAAAAAAACTTGATTTAGTCCCGCATTTGTTGTTGGCTACGGACGCGTGGTTTTCGCCCGATCCGAAAGGCGCCCTGTGTACCCTGACACGTTCTTGCTACCACCAAGGGCCGTAGGCGGGAACCGATGTGCAGGGTTTATTTCTCTTCTTTTTGATGATCAAGTAATAAAAAATTTTCCTCCACAAGAGCATTACTAGGCCAACTTCTGATCTCCAGGGGCGATCGCTGACCCGGGTTGGATGGGGTGAAGCGCCTAGCGACCAGAAAAACCAGACGGCGGTGGATCTGGCCTGGCCGGCTCTCAGCTAGGTGCCAAGCCCTGTCTAAAGTTTTGTCCATCACTCTGCACATATTCAAAGCGCAAACATCGCTTTTTATCTCGCGCATTTCAGGGAAAACTAGTTTTGGCGTGAAAAAAGCAACATTATAACGTGAAATTAACATAAATTTAACTGAGAGCTGACCTGCATTATTACATCGGCGTATGACATTCTCTAGGAAGGTGTTCTGTGGGGCGACGAGACCGCGTTTGGCGACGGGCATTCTCTCATCACATAGACGGTGTTCGGCTAAATTATTACTGAGTACATTTCCCATTGCAACATAACGACGACGCAGCTGACGTAACGAAGCATTTGAAGTGAAACGTCGGATGGAATCGTGAAAACTATGAATGCCAGATGAAATTCGGAGAGCATTTCGCTTCTGCAGTGTTGCTGACGCACTGGTATCGTTGTCCAGAGCGACAACTAAGTGCTATGAATATGAAAGCATGTACGCAAAACTCTTGTGCCATTCTAGGCGAAGATACATGGGTTGAACTGAGAGTGGAAAGAACGAAATGGGGGAAAGCAGACAATACCTTTCATTACCTCGTTGGGAAAGTGATGATGGCTTCAACATGTGAAAAATTGTATTTTCAACAACAATAGAGGCAGCAAACTGTTCCAATTGATATGTAGAAGTTACGTTTTTCAAATATAGGATATTTTATACGAGCACCGCCATGCGTCGATTTAAACGAGCGTTATGCACTTCCACCGTTTCAACTCAATAGTGCAAAAAAGGCAATCATTCTTATTGTAAGAACGAAGGTAGTAGTGATAGGGCTTTAAAATCAGAGTAGAATTATGGGTAAACCAGAGTTAAAGAAAAAAAATATAACTCAGCAGTGAAAGAGAGATAACCAGACGATTTAGAAGATAAAATTCTCCACAAGACATAGAGAGGTCAGATCAATCAACGTCTAAAGAAAAGCGGTTCTCTTTCATCTTTGCATGTTAACCGAAGCTTCTACAACTCCCAACCTAACTGAATCAAGAATACAGAGGTTGTAATCATATTAAACCACGAGCGATAATGCTCACCGGTCATGTTTTTTACATCTACAATAAGAAAAGAATAGGAGAAATTGGCAGCTATTAGGTTGGCATGAAAGCTCTGTAACATCCTAGATTACAAGTAAAAAAAGATTTCAGGAAGAGATGAATGTCGCTTTCCATAGATAAGCAATAAAAAGGTGACGAAAAAATGTATGAGGGGTGTCATTCCAAAAGCGAAGCAGACTATACAAAGAGATCTTTGAATATTGGCATAATTCGTGTTAACGAAGTGTTTGGATAAGATCCACAAACAGTTCATCGGATCCCCCCCCCCCGCCCATATAATCCTGAAGTTCTTACTTGCTCCTGTTTGTAGCAATTACATGTGTTCTATACAAACGCTTTTTATATTTGTTTGATAATTAGAGTTCAAGTAAACAACGGAAGCAGAAATTGGCAAACTCCGTCTACATCATTCTTATATTCCTCCCGAATACGCATTTGTGTACTACGAATCTTCCGAATTCTCTCTATAAAAATTCACCCTTGCATCTGATTTAGTTTTTGATAGTTATCAATCTAAGCCAAGAAGAAAAGTGAAAAGTCGACAATCATTTTATGTCAAATTTGGAAAGCAGCTAAGGAACTATTTATCAAAAACAGGTGTCAGAGACTGAAGCCAACAAAAGAGTTATTGTTCGATTTTCAAAACTGCATCGCCAAGAATTCGCGACGAATCATGAAATCACCGAAGAATTTCAAAAGAAGTTTATACCACAGCTTTGATCTTTAAAAAAATTTCTGAAATTGATGGTACAAAACGTAGAGGCAGCTACGCAATTGGGAAAAGCCTAATAATTCGGGTTGCAACGTTTTTTGGTTTGCAAACTTCATGGCCATTCAGTTCAAGGTCAACGTGACTTATATAATAGTCATAACATAATGGACGAATTCCGGCATTGTAAAGAAAAGAGAACGACAAAGAAAGTTATAGGAGAAAAAATGGCTTGCAGCAACAGTGTAGAAAGCAAGCTTTTGGGAAAAAAAAGCAGCACCAAAAAATATTGCATGACAAATAGAACCTACGACGGAAGAAACGCTTTGCATCGTAGATAGTTAGATAAAGATGAGATAATTTTTGCCGCAATTTTTCAGAAAAAAAAAAGAGAATTTTGCCAATTTAGAACTCTGAACAACAATAACACGTCATTCTCCCTTGCCTAACTCAAGGAATCCTTCTGCTCACTTAATTTTGGTTCTGTTCCTCACTCACTCAAGCAGTCATCGGAATCCTAATCTTATTTAATGCCTAGGCAGCAGTGGTCGTTGTCGTCATCAACTGATGCTGCTGGGATACCTCTTATTGTTAGAAAGATATATGGAGATGCAGGAGGTAGATTATACCTCCGATGTGAGCACTCAGAAAAAAATAACAAATCAGTATGTTATGCTTCCATTTCAAAGTAATCTGCCAAAATTCGTAAGTGTGATATCAATACAATAGATCAAAAATTGGAAAGACATCATTATTGCACTGGATCACGGTACTCGAAACAATGAAAATGAGAAAATTCGAAAATTTTACGATTTCATCTGAGATGGCAAGCGGAGAAAAGCGAGAAATTACCAGCTGTTCAAATATAAATATAACGCTACAGACATGGAAATGAAATATAGTATTGTCACACAGAAGGTGTAATAGAGACTTGAACGACCTATGATTTCTGAATTAATGCATTTGTAATTAAAAAATTTTATATTGAAAAGTAGTATAGAGTTAGAAAGCATGAGCTACATAACTTTTCACATAATTTTGCTTGAAGTAATTTACTTATTATTTGCAGCGTTATGCCAAAAAGGTACGGAAACAGCTGCTTCAGAATAACAGATTTCAAAAAGCAAAATACAAATTATTCATCAACCCTTCAGCGTCCGCCATGACACATCAATCGACAACGGCATGGGATACGGTAGATGTACGGTGGCTTCAAAATAACTCGGAAAACGTAGCACCAAACAGAATTTACCCGACATAGCTGGAGCGCTGTTTGCATGGAAGTGTTCCTTTTCCAAGCAGCGGCTACAATTTACCTCTCCCCTCCAAAAAACGTGTTCAGACCGTATCCAAAACTCCTCTATATGAACAATCAATGTTTGCATCACGACTGAGGTCAGAATAAAAAAAATTGTACCAATAAACAAGGTGAAATCAAAAGTGTGTGAGAGATACATCAAAAAGCTGTGAAGAATTTCTTGTTGCTTCATTCAACAGGGTTTGGTATGTAGAAGAAGAAGAACATAGTAAAGCAACATACAAGCTTACCTTAGTTTTCAAAGTAAGGCCCCTATGAATATTATGGTCAAGACGACTCGAAGAGGAAGGAACTGGAAGAAGTGACACTGCGCCCTAGCTAAGCATGATAAACTGGGGGAATCATCATGGTAGCATATTTCAGCTATAATGGCTTGAGTCGACGCGTGATTTCTCATGCACTTTAGTTATTTCTTTCGATAGGAGTTTCGCTATACGATCTCGTTGCTGAAATTGCCTAAAGAATCCAGTCACGCTGAGCTTCTGAAAGAACTGACATTTCGGTGACAGTCTTGGAAATAGAAGCTGAGTTTTAGCATTCTGCATTTGGAGGAATGCAAGGAAACAAAGACAAATCTGTTGATGCAAGCAAAGAAAAAGAATAAAGTTCGACTTTCAGAAATGACAGTGAATCACTTACTCATTTGAATAAGATGCAAAGCCTTACATTCATGGACCACGTTTTCAAATGGAAATATTTCAGAAATACTGTATACGACACACCTAGCTCAAAAAGACGGTTTTCTAGTTGTTGTTTTTTTTGCAGTGGAAATCCCTTCAGAGACACGGTAAACTATAGCTGCTCGAGTAAACGGTTCATGATTATTATGTCATAGCTGTTCGATATAGATTGTAATGCTTACACTGCAATCAAAGTAGTTTCTTGAGCGTCAAAAAATACAATGGCTACGTATGAAATTTTTGTCCCCTTTGCAGAAAAATATACCTTTCTTTGAACATCGAACCCTCTCGAAGGTGAACTCGAAAACTGTCTAGGAAGCTATGTGAATGAAAAAAAAACAGAACACAGAACACATATAAATACATTACGGGGGGAGACGGTCGAAGGCGCGATTTTTCCGGAAGTCACCAACTTAACAGCCCAATTTAGAGCTATGCGAGTCTCTTAGTAATACCAGACAAAATGCTTTAACTCACTAATCTAAAGCTACCATTTACTAAGTTGGACAGCTTTTTGTAGAAACTTGATTGGAATATTCGCGAAAACGGCTTTAGTTGCATTTTCATGAGTCTTTGATCTCTAACACTCATATTTTGAATCTTTTGAAATGATAAGATCGAGCAACCCCTGGGACAATTACACTTGTTTTGCTAGAAATTTGAACTGCTCCTAAAACATCATAAATTACTAAAAATGTGCTAATTAGTATCCATCTGGCAATAAAAAACGCGCCTCTTTAGGTACACCCCACATTAGGCACATCTCTAATGAAGACAGAAGATACCAAACGTCATCAGAATGTTGTAGTCAGAATAAAGCTTGTAATTACTATAAGATTGGGAGTAAGTGAATTATTCATGGAGAGACTTGAAAACAGACTTTTAGATGCAATGAACAATTTCAAAGAATCTTTTTCAATAGTGAAAGCTCTTCTTGATCAAAATGTCATTGGATGTAGCTTTTTCGATTTTGCTTTTAAATAATGGAAGAGGCGAAGATTTATAGATAACTCGAGAGACGCAAAATTGAGCCAGTTGCAAAAAGATTGAGTAAATTGTTCTTTGCTGTCAAGAAAAGAAAAAAAATCAAGAAGAATTAACATGAATACTTGCTCAAAGTAAGCGGCACGAGCAAGACAATTTCGATGTTTATCTTCAAATTTTCATCGATCAGAAAAAAATTTTCATCCTCTACACACGGATGTCATGAGAATTGATTATGCATTGCAGATAGATAATTATTTAGGGAAGAAGAAAATGAGAGATTGGAGTTAGACAGAAACATCTTGAGTGAAGAGGTTCTTTGAAAAAAATAAAGCTTTAAAATGTTTCTGTTGCATTTCCAGACGTCGCTATATAAAGTAGAAATTCTCCTGCCCTTCACCAAAAATAAGAAGTGCAGTGCAAGATGTTAAGAATAGCTCTGCAAGAAAAACGAATCTGGATTGCCAGACTACGAAAAAACATATGCGCAAAAGTCTGAGTTAGGGCGATAACAAGAA